CAAACACGAGTTGGCAACGTGTCTGCCATGTTACGCAATGTTACCTCACTACATACAATGTGGAGGGAACAGATGATTTTTGTGAAGGTTAAAAGAGTAAAGGAGAGCACAGAGGCAAGAGGGTTAACTTCAGCTCACTTCCTGGTTGGACAGGACATCTGTTCCTGTCTGGAACAGCGTGTACTCTTGTTTACAGCTAGTCCAATTCTTGCCCCCAGCACTCCCTATGTCAGTCTGTGATTTGTATTTAATAGACCTTTTTCACAGCAGACATTTTGAGATGTCCTAGTAGGAAAAGCACAGATGTATTCAATAACATTAATGACAGCTGCATTCCACTTAGGGGAGGTCCTGGTATTGCGCATGCTGGTTTACTTGAATAGCTTACTAGGACACCTAATGGAAGTGAGACGTCATTAATGTTCAGAATGCACATCACCTGTTGAAGTACAAGATGTTTATTTCTCTGCTCTGTTTTATGACATACATCATTGCCTAAAATCCCAAACAGCCTTTACCATCAACTTTCCTATAGTAGTGATGATTAGAACATTAATACTAGGCATGCAACAAGAGGTTTTTTTTCCACTTCCGTTTCGAAAACTAATGAAAAGTAATATAATGGGATGGTTTGCCATCGGACATTACATATTCAACAAGTACAACTATTGTAAAGAGGTTAAATATATACCTGATGGCACAGAGCACCAGCCCCTCTCAGGACATGTTTCATTACATATCATCTGACTATATAATCATTATTGAAGGCCAGCTCTGTCCTGGGATGCTTTCTCGACCCAGTAGAGGTAGTGGGAGCTCCTTCAGTGACAGGCTGCTTCACCTACGGTGTTTGAAGGAGAGATACCGCAGCAGGTCCTACATTCCTGCTGCTGTCAGACTATACAACCAGCACTGTTCCCATTAGACCATACATACTAAAACTATAGACAATGAATCATCACTCCTGCGCAATATCTACATTTCCATCGGTCAATAATGTAAAATCAGTCATTCCGCCTGTCTCTATTATATTCTGCTTCTTTTTGATGCTTCCTTATTATATTGCTTTGTGATTTATACTGTTTGCTTATTGTACTCTTTTTTTTTTTTTTTTTTTTTACAGTTTACTTATTGGACGTATTTATATATTGTATTTTATTTCTGCTGATGCTTCCTGTTTGCACTCTCCTTTTGCTGCTATAATGTTGCAAATGTCCCTGCTGTGGGATGAATAAAGGGTTATCTTATCTTATTAATGAGGAGCTCTCCTTGTCTTTTCATTTTCTCAATCACTGTATACATTGATTTTCAAAGTACTACTATTGCTTTTGAGCTGTATCAAATGTCTTACTGACAGTTTAGATATGGTGAGAATATGAGTGGTGACTGAAAGGTTTTGAGCCTAACCCTGAAAATGAGTAGCTAGGCAAGCCAAATTACATTTTTTATACTCTACTACCTTTTTCTTATTATCATTAACCATGCTCATGTTTCAAACTCTTTTTGTTATATTTTTGCAGCTTCTACAAGTGAATAGTGGTCAGTGAGTTGTTGAAAAATCAAAATGTCTTCATCTCAAATGAATGTCCATCTCAAATCCACCACAATATGCTCAATACTCAACATGACAATGCCCTTCATGTGCCACAGTCAAACACATGGGTACAAGCATTCAAGCGTGGCAGGGAGAGTGTGTGTAGGGTCCCAATCTGAGGAGCTTTCTTCCACTGGGATAAAGGCGCTTCAGCACTGCTGGAGCAAGTGTGTAGCATTTGAGGGGGATTATGTAAAAAATAAAAGCACTGAAAAATCTGTATCTTGTTTTGTTTCCTTGAGGCTCAAAACTTTTCAGTCACCCCTCCTACTTGTTGTAATTATTGTCATTAGTAGTTTCATTGTTATTTTTGTAGTTTTCCTGTTTTTCTTTTGTACCATTTTATGTTGGATTTATGATGTAATGTTTACTGTGGACTCATGGAAGAGTGGTTGTTGCCATGGTAGTGGCTAATGGTAATCCAAATAAATAACGTTAATTAAATAAATAAATGCTATCATTCTACATGTGCTTTTCCAACTATGACAGGTCAAAATGTCTGCTGTGAAATAAAGTGACAAAGGAAGGCCAAGTTTGACTCCAGTGTAACTTAGCCGATATTTTAAGCTAACCATGACTTCACAAAGCCTTATCTGTTAAAATATTTATTACATGAGAGGTACAAAACTGAGGTTGTAGCTTACATTCGAGTCACCGTTTTCCCCTAATGCTAAGAAAAGATTTTTGGCTGTATATTTTTAGGGTTATTTCCCACCAACGCCTACTTAACGTTCAGTATGAATGTGGCTATCAAGCTTGTAATGTTAACCTTGGGCCACTAAAATTACGTATTAAGGTGATGGGACACATTGCAGCTGTAGTTTCATCGTGAAAAATTCGTCATAAGTTCAATATCCTGCGAAATATAGAACTAAAATCACTGCACAGTCGACACAGGTGAAAAAATGTCACTCATTAAGCTAATTTATGACGTTAGCATACAGCCGGTGCTCCTTCAACGTATCACTCAGCCGTTAACAGAAACCGTTAGGATTAAGTTATTTAAAGTATGAACTCACCGGGTCCAAGGCGACATTTTGGCGACTTGTGAGGAGTTAAAAACTTTGTCAAGCAGGTGTAACGTCAGAAAACACACAATTAATCCAACAACAGAGGGGGTGACTTCCGTAAACTTCTAATTACAGTTAAAACAAATCATCAAATATGGCGCCTCTGTGCCGCGCGATTTCTTCCTCACTTAAGGACCGGGGAGCTGCTGCGCTCAGTGCTGCCACCGGTGGCCAGAATCTGAACTGCAGCATACTGGTGATATTTCATACTGTGTATTATTAAGCGGTTTATAATGACTTTAATCAACGTCAGACATTCTCTATAAGTACCTTGTATTTGAGAAAAGTCAACTCATTATAGTGTCAGAGAGTTTCTTCAGCTTAAGAAGAAAGAGAATGTTTTCAACACAAAAAGGAATGCTTCGTCCTTCAGTTTACATACACATGATTTTCACTGGACAGGAAGATTATAGAAATTGTAATCTGAGAGATAACTAAGCGGCCAGATAAATAGTAAAAAGCACAATATTTGCCTCTGAAATGTAGTGATGCAGAAGTATAAAGCTACAGAAAATAGATATACTCAAGTACAAGTAACTCTAAATACTACTTAGATACAATACTTGGTGATAGTAGGCCTGTATCCCATTTAAGGGATGTACAATATATAGGGATGAAAAACATGCAAGGGCCACTTCTTCTTTGTGCATATGGTGATAAAGCTTTGTATTTAGTAACTAACAGAGGTGGGACCAAGCCACAAGTAAGTCTCAAGTCTCTGCACTCAAGTCCCAGTGCAAAGACTGACAATTCCAAAGTACTAAACTTTGAGATTTAACTCCTAAACAAATCATAATGTGCTCTTCGCTAAATTTATTTTAACAACAAACATTAAATCAACACAATAAATTGACAAAAATCACGAATGCTTTAAAAAATAATTCAGAAAGTGCAACTGAACTTAATCATAACAAAGTAATGCTGACATTGTACTGTCATAGTATATAGCACTATTAACCAGCAGCCTACCACAACAGAATGAAGTTTGTATGTTTGTGTCCTGTCTTGTTGTTTTTATTATATCTCATATTGGAAAAGTGTCTATAACTTTCTCTTCCCAAACTGGCCTGGCAGAAGGTATCAAGTATATTCAAGTCATTAGATTTAAGTTGAGTCCAAAGCCATTAAATTAATAAGTCTGACTCGAGTACACACCCCTGGTAACTAAAGCTGTCAGACAAATGTAGGCTAGTGGACAAAAAAGTAGCCTACAATATGTCCATCTGAGAGTCAGTGGAGTAAAAGAATAAAAGTTGCATAAATACTCAAGTAAAGTTCAAGTACTTAAGTATTGTGCGTATTCTCCCTCAGATAAGATAAGAAAATACCAAGGAAAATAAGAATTTATTTAAAAAAAAGGGTATAGTGGGATCATTACAAGTTAAAACAAAAACAGTTCAGAGTGTATTGCAAAACAGAGTTAGCATACCACAACAGCTCATCAAAGTAGAAAACATCGAGTGCATGCTCGAATTCACCGAGTGGACCCGCCACAACAAGGTAACGTCAACGTCACGTTCAGTTGCATTAAACCTTAATCAGTGATTGCTCGCTGAGATCATGTCTGATCAGTAACAGACATCAATGCAGTGGCTAACGTTATCTGGCAATATATCATGTGTAATAGCCAAGTTTTGCTTGAATATATGCAACACAGAAAATAAAATGCTGTAGTCAATTTGTTTAAAACCTTAGCTTCATCCATGTTATTATGTTGGTCACACACATTAACACATATGCACCCCACAGACAGCAGGTCTATGTTAAGTAGAATTAAGTATAAGGTCAAGTAAACCCAACATATGATGTCCACATGTGAGTGTCTCAAGGGGATGGTTTAAATCTAATCATTGTTCTTCTTTGACAAATTGCATATTTTCAATGTGGCAATCACTCATAGGGGCCCATTCTTCAGTTCTGGAGGGCCCACTCTCTCTATGGGCCCCAGTGCATTGTCTATATTCACGCCCCTGCCTCCAGAGTCACTTGACTGACTGTACGCATGCGCATACTGACTTCCTGCCTCAGTGGCTCTTCCGTGAACACACCAGTCGGTTTCCCAGCACATGAACTATCTTGGCACCGTGTGTATCATCTTTGAGCGAGAAGCTCTCTCCCAACAATTTATCGGTTGTTGATTATGTACGCATGTGCGATTAAACCCCAGAAACGTGTCAGTGCGCTCTCGTGGGAACTAAGGTGCGCGAGGCCGACGTCACTGCACTTATTAGTTACATTGTTGCTATGCTACATACGTCCAGCAACGTGCACGCTCCATAAACCATTGCGTAACAAGAATCGGTTGAAGTAGAAGTGAAACAAGAGTTTGTGTTTACCTGCTGATCCGCCGGCTATAATCTGATGGGAGGCTTCCCGCAGCATGCTCCGAGGCTTTGTGGCTGTCATGGTTGGTGTGTCCTAACAGAGGAAACACAGCCTGTGTGTGAGACAACTTATCTCCACTCTTACCATGAGCCCCTATCTTATCATAAGAGTGTGTAACAGCAGCTCCAGCCCCGGTGAACACTCACCTCCCGGTCCCTGCTCCTGCTCTGAGGTGAAGCTGCTGTGTGTAGTCTCCTGTCCCACTGTGATCACTGGAGTTTACTGCGCTCCTGTAGTTGCAGCCCACGCTGGAGAAAGCGCAACAGTGATATCTCTCCGAGTGCTCTGAGGCTAGGCTAGGCTAATATGGAATCAATTACCAGCACAAAAAAAGTGCTGCTTCAGTTTCACCCTCCCATTGCCTCACAGCAGTGATGTGGGGAATACTGTAAATAAAAAATGGATAAACCCTGACCCCTCTGCACGGATCAATAAATGGCAAACAATCACAGAAGCTGCACAAAGGTCATTTTATTCTCATTAATGTACATATATAGTGTTTTTTTAACGATATTACTGATGCTTACTGTTCATATTATAACAGTGAGCTTTATTTGACTGCTTTTTTTGTTTGTTTATTTTTACATTTACGTTACAGCTACTGTACAGTAGAACACTAATCACTGGTTTACCATTAGGGGGACCATGTTCAGTCAGCACCTTAGGCAACCCAAGCCTTCAGGGGGTCTGGGGGGATTTTTTTTTCCCAGGAGATATTTTTAGAAACTTAAACTAACCCGATCATTGTAAAGCATTTTGAAACAAAAATCACATATCAGGGTTTCTCAGCCTTCCTGTGGACAACCTACTCATAGTACAACCTGGCATATACTATAATTGTAATTTCTTTTCTATAACTGACAGCGTGTTACCCTATTTATTTATTTCTAGTATTTTTATTTATTTATTTTGCATCTGTTCTGTATTCCTTATGTTTGTCAAATCAGGGTCTTCAGCATACCTTGTATATACTTTTACTGTAATTTTATTCCTTTAACTTGCAGTGTGTTACCCTTTATCTTATCATTATTATTATTACTGCATTATTATTATTATTTATTATTTATTAATTTATTTTCGTCTTATTGTTGTCCATTTTTTCATTTATTTCATTACGTTTTATTGACTATTAATATATATTTTTGCTTTTGTACTGTATTCCTTATGTCTGTTTTTGTATTAAAATGTAAAAAAAAAAAAAAGAAAAGAAATCACAAATAAAATCTATTTAAAAAAAAAAATCCCAGACTGTTTCTCAGCCTTCCTGTGGACAACCTACTCATAGTACAACCTGGCATATCCCATAATTGTAATTTCTTTCCTTTAAATGGCAGTGTGTTATCCTTCATTTTATCATTATTATTATTATTACAACTATTTTTTTCTTAAATTAATTTGTTTTCGTCGCCATCGTCCTTTTTTGTTTTTACTTTCTGTCCTGTATTCCTCTTTTTTAGGTAACTACAGGCAAATAATAGTACACAAAGCACAGATCACAACATGATAACATGACAATATGGTCTCATACAAACAAACAAAACATAACAAAAACACCCCCCCCCCCCCCCCAAAAACAAAAACAAAACAAAAAAAAACATTAGACTTACACAGACCAAAGTGGATAAAAGAAAAGACATATTAAATTTAGTAGGATCAAATCAGTAATTCAAATGATTAAGTTAATATAGTACTAATAAAAAATAATCACAGTTTATATGACAGGTAGAGTGTAATTATAATTCTATATAGTTCCACTTTTCACTAGAGCAAATTTTCTTCCATTTCATGTTATGTTGTGCCACTTTGCAATAGTTTGTAGCAATATTTTTTTTCCGTAATGAATTGTATGTGTTTTTGTATTGTTAAAATGTAAGAAAAAAAAGATAATAATCAGAAATATTAAAAAAAAAAAATTGCAGATGAGGGTTTCTTAAAGTTTTGGTGACTGAGTGCCATTTTAGGTAGCCAGCATATGATTGAGGGCCACACAGGAAACGTTTTTAATTACATTTTTATGACTTACTAACATTAACATTACAAAAACTATCACAGTCATCAATGATAAATCCTACGTAACATTCAAATTACATTTTAGTTTTCCACTTTTTAATACAATTGAAAGTCATGAAACAGAGGGACAATACAGTGTTTGGCACTGACTGGAGTACAGCAACATTGAGCAAGACAAACCACATGAACAGCACAGCGTAATACTAGAATCAGTTATAATAATGAGGGGGGAGGGGATCCCTTCAATAGGCAACATGTTATAACTACTACCTTGGCACAGTTTAGCAGTACAACTACTTCAGCAGGTTCCAGCAAGTTACACGTCATGATTCATCAGAAGGAACTTCCTTTCTGTGTTTAATTTCAACATCAGACTCAAAATCTAGATTTTGAGCATCAAGCTTCAAAGTGAGCTGACAGTACCTAATGTGGACTGTGTGTGGCCTTAATTAAACATTATTTTAACTAAGGATGAATGTACTGATGAGTTGGTTAATTGTTTGGTCTATGAAATCTCAGAAAGTGTGTAAAATGCCCCAGAGTCCAAAGTGACAATACATCAAAACCCACTGACATCCTGATTACCGTAGAGGAAAATAAAAAAGAGGGTTGTCTGACTCCTCAAAGCTGTCACTGTCGTCATGTCCGTTCTCGCAAATATATTTTCCTTGATTACAGTCAAACAAACAAGAAGAAGAGCAGCAAATCCTCATTTTTGAGAAGCTTTAAGCAGCAAATACCTGGTTTTGTTCTTGCTAAATATCCCAAATGATTATTATTGAAATCATTGCTTATCAATCATTTAATCAGCTGTGTTCAACTTGAATTCAGCCGCAGCACAATAACAGCCCATTTTTACAGCCACATTTCAGTCCTACAGGAGGTAGTTAAGTGTTCAATAGAAATTGGCTGGAGTATCCCTTTAAGAATATTATATCACACGTTTTAAACTGATAATCCAGAACAGTTATAATCATCTGAATAATGACGTTTAATGTAACTGGTATTCACCCTTGAACAGAATCTCTAAAAGTGGCTCACAGGGTCGACAGGTTTACATGAGTGACATGTACAGTAAGAGGCCCCTTATATAAACCACACATGAACATTGTCCCCTCCTCAACCCACATTATGTAAGGTTATGTAATGTTTTAAACATGTCTGATTCTCATTTCTTTAGCGGTCAAATGTGCTAGATCAGATTGTTATGATGTTGGATTGTCACTCTTTTAAGTTCACCCGCATGTCCCAAGTTAAAATCAGCAGTACACACTGAACCAACCAGACAAACATGTGACATCACATATTTGTTATGTAAAACTGTTGTCTGGTAACTTTTTCAGTTGTTTACACAGCATACATACCTGAAACACAGTATACAAGAGGAAATGGAAAGAACAGTTAACAGGATAATTAAAGGGACACCTAACCTTTAATAAAGCGTCACAAGACTATGAGCTTTAACATGTTAAAGTTCAGTTAATCAGTCTCAGGATGATAAAGATAACATAAAGCAGCTTGTCGCAGCAGCACAACATGAGGACAGGCAGCGTTTCCACAGAATTTCAGGTAAAAATAAAGCTGTAATGATTCATTAAGTAGGCACAAAGTTGAAGTGAGAACAGGCTGGGCAGGCTCAGTCTTCTCACATGTGAGGATTTCTGCAGTGATGGGATGTAACAAAGTACATTTACTCAAATGCTGTACTATACGCATTTATGTTACTTTTGTACTTCTACTCCTCTACATTTATCCAACAGCTGTAGTTCCATCCATCCATTTTCATCCGCTTATCCAAAGCCGGGTCACAGGGGCAGCAGGCCAGGTAAAGCACCCCAGAGGTCCCTCTCCCCAGCAACACGTTCCAGCTCCTCCTGGGGGACCCCAAGGCGTTCCCAGGCCAGATGAGATATGTAATCCCTCCAGCGTGTTCTGGGTCTGCCCTGGGGCCTCCTACCAGTGGGATGTGCCTGAAATACCTCCAACGGGAGGCGCCCAGGAGCCATCCTGATCAGATGCCCGAACCACCTCAACTGACCCCTTTTGAGGTGATGGAGCAGTGGCTCTACTCCGAACTCCTTCCGGATGTCCAAGCTCCTCACCCTATCTCTAAGGCTGAGCCCAGCCACCCCACGGAGGAAACTCATTTCGGCTGTTTGTATCTGCAATCTCATTATTTCGGTCACTACCCAGAGTTCATGATCATAGCTGGGGGTTTGGAAATAGACGGACCAGTAAATTGAAAGCTTCGCCTTCCTGCTCAGCTCCCTCTTCATCACGACGGTCCCGCATAATGCCCGCATCATTGACCACCTATCCATCTCTCGCTTCATTCTACTCTCACTCATGAACAAGATCCTGATATACTTGAACTCCCTTGCTTGGGGCAGTAACTCCCTCCCAACACAGAGGGGGCAATCCGCCTCTCATCTCAATCTGACTGCTTCACATTCTGCTGCAAACCTCCCCAGTGCATGCTAGAGATCATGGTGTGATGAAGCCAACAGAACCACATCATCTGCAAAAAGCAGAGATGCAGTTCTACGGTCACCAAACTGGACCCCTTCCTCCGCCCCGGCTGCACATTGAGATCTTTTCCATGAATATTAGGGGCAGGGGGCAACCCTGGCGGAATGTCCAATTGTCAAATAAAATGTAATGGACATTTTCCCCCATTTTCTGATATTTGCAGACAAAACTATTCAAAAATTACCAGCAAATAATTGGCAGATTAATCAATAATGAAATTAATCCCTGCTCGTAGCCCTGAAATAAAGTATCACAACCATATGGCAGAAGCCATCTCATGCTTGTAAGAATGAACACAAGTCTTTCTATGATTTAAAGCTTTAAATTCTGCACATACATTCCTCTATATTCTGGATAAATATTGTTTGTCAAATCATGCTTCTTTCATAATTCATTCAACACACACACTGCTACAGTCAGCCAGTAAAACAGTGTTGAGGATTTAGTGAGGGCAACAAAATGCCCATCTATCCAACAACACTGGAATCTTTTACTTTAAATTAAATTAGATTTAAGCTCTTATAAAGCATGTGGCCTGAGCCGCAGCGCACCACAGAAAAATTAGGAGTTATTTTCTTTTTTGATGAGCGATGAAGGCATGCAGAAATTCAGCAGTGAGCCCTATAACGAGCATTTCATTCTGTATAAGAGCAGCTATGGAACAACAAGAGCTTCAGACAAGCTATAAAACTGTGGGATTTACAGCATATATTTGGCAGGAAAATGCCATTACCACTTTGACCCCCTTGGATAAGAAAAAGCAGAACAGCTTCCACCCCTACAGCCTCC